TCTAAGATAGGACACTAGAAGCACAATCAAGAAAAGGGAAAAATGATTAATTAAACTTCATCAAAATTAACAACACTTAACCTTCAAAATATGCTATAAAGAAAATGAAAAGAAAAGCCACAGACTTCAGAGAAAATACTTCAAAATCAAATTTCCTGGGGTGCCTGGGTGGCTCAGTCATTAAGCGTCTGCCTTTGGCTCAGATCATGATCCCAGGGTCCTGGGATGGTGCCCCGCATCGGGCTCCCTGCTCAGCGGGGGACCTGCTTCTCCCTCTGCCTCTTCCCACTGCTTGTGCTCGCTCTCTCTCTCTCTCAAATAAATAATAAATAAATCTTTAAAAAAAAACCCCAAAAACCCCAAAATCAAATTTCCTATAAAGGACTCGTATACAGAACAGATGAAGGAATTAGAAGACAAACAACCCATTTTACAAATGGGCAAAAGATTGAAGTAGCCATTTCACCAAAGAAGTTATGCAATGCAAAGTAGGTATGACCAATAAACACGTGAAGAGATACTCATCATTTACTAGGAAAGTGAAAATTAAAACCACAATGAGGTATCACTTCACACCCACCATAATTAAAAAAAAAAAAAGAAAAACAGCAAATGTTGGGAAAGATGTGGGGAAATTAGAACACTTTTACATTGCTAGTGGGAATGCGAAATGGTATAGCCACTTTGGAAACAGTTCAGCAGTTTCTTAGAATGTCAAATATAAGTTTACCTTACAACTCAGCAATTCTACACCTAGGTATCTCCTCCGAAGTAATGAAACATATATATACACATAAAGACTTGTACTTGAATGTTCACAGCAGTATTATTCACAACAACCAAAAAGTGAAAATAATCAAAATGTCCATCAACCGGTAAATTGGAAAAAAAACGTGGTATATTAATTTAATTGAATATTATTCAGCAGTAAAAAGGAATAAACTATTGATACATGCTACAACATGGATAATCCTCAAAAATATTATGTTAAGTGAAAAATCTAATTCAAAACTATATATTGTCTGATTTTACATATACAGAAACAGAAGAATGGATTTTGCCTGGGACTGTATTGGGGGTGGGAGGAATGGGGCAAAGGAGGAGAAGTGATTGAAAAGGGGCCTGTGGGATCTCTTTGTAGTGATGGAAATGTTTTAAAACGATTCTGGTGATGGTTACACAACCCTGTAAATTTACCAAAGAGCATTCAATTTGTATACATTACTTATTGTCTGAAATGCTATTCAAAACCGGAGAGACAGTAAAAGTTAAGAGAAGGAAGAGATGTTTCTGTTCCTTTATTACATTCCAGAGGCAAACAACAATCAAAACGGAATTTTGTGAGCATTACTACTATAGACGTTATTTAAAAGTTTTAAAAGGAAAGGTGTTTCACTTAAACACAGCTGTAGGTGTATGTAACACATAGAAACATATTTAATCTGAAGAATATAGTTAAAATGTGAAAACAGATTGAGGAGTTTTTCATCATTGCATATGTAAAATCAATTAAACTCATTTGATATAAAAATATATTTAATATGTTGCATCATATTTAATTTTAAAGAAAACCACAGGAGAACTAAGTATTAAAAAAAATCCAGATGAGATATTCATTGTTTACAACATAACTTTAAATGAGAATAATGCAAATTTTATCTGGCTTTAGAAATTCACTGAACTGAAAACCACTTTGTGGGCCTCCTGACCATCAGATTGTATACAGTTGATAAATGAATATATTTAAATAATCACTTTCTTTATCTGGATAGCAAGATTGGATACTATGACCCACCCCAATAAAGATTTTAAGAAAACCATTGGCATTTAATAGCATAAATAAATGAATTAAGGGTAATGATTTTAAATTAATTTAAAATAGTTTTGATAATTTATAGGAATAAATGTTTTCTTTTTTTTCCATCTGAACCCTCTGACAAAAAGAGCCTCGTTGCTATAAGTGTGTATGTGTGTGTTTGTGTGTGTGGTATGTGTGTGTGTATATGTGTTTTGGTGGTGTGTGTGGCAGGTGCAGACGGATGGTGGGTGGAGAAAGGGCATGAGGGTATAATTGGAGGAAAAAAGTCCAATACATATTTTTTCCTAGGAGATTTGTCTAAAATATTGTCTTGACGTGGATGGAACTAGAGGGTATTATGCTAAATGAAATAAGTCAATCAGAGAAAGATATGTATCATATGATCTCACTGATATGAGGAATTCTTAATCTCAGGAGACAAACGGAGTGTTGCTGGAGTGGTGGGGGGTGGGAGGGATGGGGTGGCTGGGTGATAGACATTGGGGAGGGTATGTGCTAGTGAGTGCTGTGAATTGTGTAAGACTGATAAATCACAGACCTGTACCTCTGAAACAAATAATACATTATATGGTAAAAAAAAGAAAAAAAAGAAGATAGTAGGAAGGGAAAAATGAAGGGTGGGAAATTGGAGGGGGAGACGAACCATGAGAGACTATGGACTCTGAGAAACAAACTGAGGGTTCTAGAGGGGAGGGGGATGGGGGGATGGGTTGGCCTGGTGATGGGTATTAAAGAGGGCACGTACTGAATGGAGCACTGGGTGTTATACACAAACAATGAATCATGGAACACTACATCAAAAACTAATGATGTAATGGATGGGGATTAACATAACGTAATAAAATAAAATTAAAAAATAAAATATTGTCTTGAGTACATTTTCTTTTACTATTTTTCTCAATCGTTGCTTGCATGAGAAGCATGAACTCATCAGAGGAAAAAATCTGCTGAGAAAACCTGCAGAGAGACTCATTATGTGAAAACCTTGAAAAATGCTTCGTTTCATCACGCTTCAGTCATGTTTCTCCTTGATTATTACTGAGGCAGAAGCTAGGGTGGTTATTTTGTTACTTTATTTTTTCTTTTGGCAGAAATTCTTCATCAGTTATAATAAAATTGTAGGTGTTTCCAGATCAGCAAATAACTAATCAAATACTTAGAGATTTTATTCCTATATTTTTTCAGTTTCATAAAAAGCACATTTTCTTTAACTGCAAATATTATTTTTTCCTTTAAAATTTGATGGTGTAGTGATTTTCACTTCTAACATTATAACACTGTATTGTTAGTCATATAAAGAGCAAAGGCTGAATATATATGCATAATTTAATTATGTCAAATCCAATGGTAAAATATTACAAATACCTTTTTTATTACAGAATGTTTAATTTTTGTGAAGTTCTGGTGCAATTCTGTATGTAGTGATTTTTCTCTCTCTCTTTTTTTAGCAATGGAGTTAATTACGGCTGTTTTCCAGTAATAACATTCAGAAGATATGGCTTATAATTAAAGTACTTTTAAATACAGAGGATGATTTTGCCTGGACAGATTCCAAAACTGTCATTACTTTAGTTGGTTGTTAAAAACAGTCTTTAATTGTGAAACTAAAGGTAATATAAACCATTCCATATAAAGCAATGTAGTCTTAAACCTATTGTTTTGATACTTATTACTCTCCCCATACTGTGCTTTTTGTTGAAATCATAAAGTATCAATTTTATCTTTGAGATTTTATCCTCTCAAGTTTCTGTATTCATTTGATGTTACAAACTATTTGTTTTACACATATGATAGTTATAATTCTTTATCTTTTATTTCTGTAATTTGGTTATTATATTTTTTATTATTCTACTTATATTTTTTATTGTTTAGGTAATCCATATGAAAAAAGTTTTTATTTTGCTATAATATGCATGGATATATAACACATATACTTTTATGCAAAGAACATTTTAACATGAGATCTACCCTCAACAAATATTTAAGTGTACAATACAGTATTGTTAACTGTAGGCATAATATTGTACATCAGACTCTAGAACTTATTCATCTTATACAACTTGGATATTATTTTTAAATTATTTTTAATAAAAGTCAAAGTTTGTACAAAGGAAATAAATTTTTTGCATTGATGACTATGACTTTATTATTTATTCTTTGATAAATTTGACATGTTACAATTTGCAATTTTAAAGTGTAGAGTATTGATTTGACACATTTATATATTGTAATATGATTGCCATTGAAGCACTATTTTATCATTCTCACATTCTATCACTATATTACAGTATTATTGATCATATTCATCTTACTGTACACTAAACCTCTATTGCATATTTACTACTCATTACAGGTTTGTACCCTTAATCACCATCAGTCTTATCCCTCCTTTACCCACCCTGGTAACCACCATTTAACTCTGTTTTTTTTCTCTATAGGTTTGACATTTTTCAGATTCCACATATAAGTGATATTATACAATACTTGACTTCCTCTGTCTGATTTATCTCACTTAGCTTAACGTGCTCAGGGTCCATCCATTTTGTCACAAATGGCAGTGTATCTCCCTTTCTTGTGGCTGAATAATATTGTTTTTATATGTACCATATGTTTTTTATCTATTCATTCATTGATGGGTATTTGGGTCTTTCCATATCTTGGTTATTGTGAATAATACTGTGAGAAGCATGGGTGTGTATATATCATTGAAATCCTGTTTTCATTTCCTTTGGGTATACATTCCCAGAATTGGAATTACTGCATTGTATGGTAGATCTATTTTTAACTTTTTGAGGGAACTGCGTATTTGTCGACCTCAGAGAGTCGGGGACCTGGGGAGGCGAATGAACTGAGAAAGAGAGACGACAGTATAGCCAGGCACAGGAGACCCCAAGCAAACAGCCCGAGGCGCCGAGGTTTATTTTCCATCCTCTTACATACCTTCTACAGCGATATAGATCTATAATGATTTACAGCAGGGGTGTAGTAAGGCACATTCCTCCATGTACCCAGGATTAGTCAAGCACAGAAGAATCTTTAAAACAGAATAAAGGAACCAAGAGGGGAGTGCCCAGTGTGCTGTTTATAGCTGGCTTCCTATCTACAAAACATCTTCTGCTGCCTACTTTAGAACTGACCACACACGTCCCAAGGGCATTTCACTCGGATCCTTTCACGTTATTTTTAACCCTGCAATCTCGAGTTTTCTCAGAGATCTCGGAGTCTGAGCAAACATGCACCAGTGGTCGTTGTGGCGTTCTGTTTCCCACAGCTCCCCCTTTCTTTTTTCAAATTAGCCGCTGTCGTAAGCACTCTGTGATGGAGATTTTGGGCACTCATTCATTTTTTGAGGGTGCAGTATCCTACAAGAAATATAAGGCAACATATTAACATTGCAAAGAGTGAGCTACTAAAACTATGCATGATACTTTGCCACCATCCTTGGGGATCCAGACCTTCCAAAACATGAGCGATATCGGAGGCTAGTTGTCCATATTGGGTTTTTGGGTCCATAAAGGTTTCAAACACCTCTTGTTGTAGAGTCTGAATGTCTAAAGATAAATTACCATGGATGTTCTGCAAATGATATTTAATTTGTTCCCAAGTGTGTTTGGAAGCATTAAAGGGATAGGGAGTCACACAGACCGAACTGGAATTCCAATCACATTTGAGAAAAACTTGTTGTAAGTCAACAAGTTGATCCTCTATCCATTTTACCACTTGTTCCAACTCACTAACCTTCGACTGTAACTCTTTTGCGTGATTTTTCTTGCCAGGTTTTCACGAAGTCATGAGTCTGCAAGGACGTTTGCGGGGCCACCCCAGCTATTGCTGCTGTTGAGGCAATACCAGAGTGACAAGTACTAGTGTAGCTACGAAACGTCATCTGCGGGAGAGTAACTCACTCAACATTTTTGACATGAGACCTTCAACAGGGTTTTCTTCCCAACTTCTTGTGAGATTTACTGGGATCCAGACCCCCATACGGGCCTGGAGAAGAAGGATGGAATCCACACTGCTGTTAAAAGGGATGGTCTGATTAAGACAGGTATACAATCGGCAGTTGGGACAGTCCATGCTCTTTATAGTATAGTTAACTTCTAGTTTCCCTATGGCGATGAGATAAGGTAAATGAACACAGGCTTGTATGGATAGCGAAGAGTTGTAAGTGAACCAATAATCACTCATGGACTGAGATGTCCTTGAGAAGTTTCCTGCATAAAAATGTAAGGATGCCAGTGAGCATTTCAAAAGAAATATGGTGCATGGCTGGGTTAGCCCGATTCGCCCGGGGTTTCATATAGGCTGCATCCGATAACCACATTTTCCATTGTAATAAATCTTGTGGCTTAAGGCAAGCCCGTGCAACCATATGCCAATCATAATGGATCCGCTCCCCAGAATTTGTCCAAGCTTTCAAAATCTCTATAGTATAAGCAGCTGTGGGTCCACACAAGTGGCAAGCATTCTTTAGTTCCCTTAAGGTATTTAAATCTAATCCCTCATAGACAGGACCAACAGCCTGTGTTCCGTCTATGGGGAAAGCCATAAACAAATCATTAGTCCCTTGCCGTCGGAGTTCCTTTTCAAGAGGTGAGAGAGCTGGAGAGGATCGTTTAAGAGGAAATGAATCTACTGCGGAGGGAGGTTGATCATCTTGGGCGGGGTCCTCCGTTAAAAGCGGAAGGGCCGTGGGTAGCAGCCGGGACTGTGGAGCCGCAAAATTTTTTTTACTTTCAGTTTTAGCCTTTTATAAAGTATCATCATCTAGTTCATATGTATGTAAAGAGTTGGTGTTTTCCTTAGCAACCTCAGCCGGAGATAACTTATCCCCAGTTTCCATAGTATTGATCAGCACTCCTACTAAAGCCCAAATGGGCCAAAAATCAAGAGGAATCCTTTCACCCTGTCTCATAGCCCTTAAGCCATTATTTTTTACTCGGACCCAAGTCTCCTTATCTAAGGAGCCTTCTTCTGGAAACCAAGGATTATATTCTACTACTGTTTCCAAACATTTTTCTATGCGCTGCTTAGTAACTTTTGCTCCATATTCTTTAAGAAAATGATGTATCAATGCAGCAAAACCTGATGCTTTCGAATTTGATTGCCCCATAACCCTGTAATAAACTTTCCTACTTACCACCGTCTGTAGGGTTCCTAGCGCTGGCGGATCACTCCTTGATGGGGGCTTCAGGTCCCTGTTCCATCGCCACTTGTCGACCTCAGAGAGTCGGGGACCTGGGGCGGCGAATGAACTGAGAAAAAGAGACGACAGTATAGCGAGGCACAGGGGACCCCGAGCGAGCGGCCTGAGGTGCCCAGGTTTATTTTCCATACTCTTACATACCTTCTACAGCGATATGGATCTATAATGATTTACAGCAGGGGCATAGTAAGGCACATTCCTCCATGTACCCA